ATCTAATACCATTGAACAATGAATTTAGACAGCAGCACATAGAGATGTAAGGATGCTACAGTTAAAGTGTTTCATATTATCTGTTTTGTTTTTTAAAGAATTAAAACAATATTTAAGTGTGGAGTGTTTGACTTCTTAAAGCTCTGCTTCTATTCTTGCTCCTTGGTCTCGCTTAAGTTTTCCAAACCCCAAACTAACTTTATGTCAGTAAAATTAATTAAAAAGTAGAGATAAATAAAGGCAAATAAACATTCAATTTACATGCCAACACCAGACCTGGTCACAAGCAAAACAGTTGAAGATTTATTGCCCTATCATAAAAATAGAACCTCATTAACAACTGACAGAAGGCTAAAAATGATTAAAAGAAATAAAAACATCACATTAAAAATAGATAGGAAACAAATTAATTGACCTAGCTGTTACAAAGCCATTCCTAAATCTTTGTGACTCCAGCAATCCACATTTGAATACATAATCTAAAACAATGAGAACATTTAGCAGTACTGAAAGCTTTATAGAAGTGATTGATCTATATAAATTACTCTATGAGGGCCTCTGTGACTCATCTTAGAAGCCACAAATGAACAAAAATATTTTGTCTTACCATGAGTACCCCTCTCAGTCAAAGGTTTGCTGATTGTCCCAAAGTGGAATGTACAGTATCTGATTATAAAATAAAATTTGTTTACTTAGTCTTTTAATTTGAATATTTAGGCATTTTATGTTTTCCATCTGAAAAAAAAAAGAAAATACATAAATATGTTGCCTGGAAGTTAGTAAGGAATCAAAACAGATGCAAAATAAAATCATGTTATAAACCCATATTTATAAAACTGGAGCTCCTCTGAGTAACTCTGCTATTATCGCATTTAAACTTGATGACTTGGGAAGAAAAATCAGAACAAAACTTATAGTCAGGCTGACTTAATTAGTTTTACTTTGTTTTCATCAAAGTAAAACTAATTTGAGCTTGTTTGATGAGCTGCGATAGCTCAGTGGGAAAAACAGCAGATAACACCAGGTAACACCAAAACACCAGGCTGTTCTCTACATCCAGTCTGTTCCTCGGCTTGGTTTGGATGAGTGTCATAGCTAAAGGTGAACTTAAACATTGAAGAAAAACTTACTTTTTGGTTGATAAAAGCTTGTTTAATTTTTCAATTGAGTCCCCTCAAAGCAAAACAGATCTATTCTATTTTACTACCTAAGAAATAAAATATTTCCATGTACCCCTTGCAATACACGGTCGGACCAGTATGGGTATGAGTACCCGCGGATGGGAATCACTGCAATAACTGATGAAACCATGCATTCTGATCTCACAGAGAATCCTGTGAAATACAAAAAGCAAAGAAGTAAAAAGTTCCCTTTGGATTACATCTTGGCCAATGTCCCTTATTTGGGTATCATCGCCTAAAGGACACTGTTCAAGATGTCTTGTCCGCCATTAAGACACCACTTTGCAACCCAAAGTTGTTCCACCATGTTATTTTTGTTTCAAATTACTCTCTGTAAGAAGATATACTGTAGTTGTTTGTTCTGCTTTCCAATTGCAGTGCCTTGCATATTTCACATACTAGAAACTTGCAGAAATAATGTATTGTTCTGTTTGTTTAAGAGCAGTTTTTTTACTTGGTGACAATAAGGTCCTGAACACCAGAAACTGTATTGTAACTGAAATATTTGCCGCATGTGAATAACCCCGCCCCATTTAATATATATATATATATATATATATATATATATATATATATATATATANCTGTATATCTAGGGGAAGAAATAATCACACAGACAATTATATCTGTACGTGTTTAATGTTCTTTAACTAAAGAAGAATGTGTGCGTGTAGTAAATACAATGAAATCTTTGTTTTTAAGAGTCTGTGTTTCTGCTTAAACTATCTAAGTCCAACTATTAGGTCAATTCTATTATGGTTTTGGTTGGGTTTAAGTTTTCTTTTTGGGTTTTCATTGGTTTTATTTCAATGTTGTGTTATTTTAGTTGTTTTTCGTTGTATTTGAGTACTTATTTATTTCTTGTTTACCCTCTGTTTTTATCTTTTGTCAGTCTCCTTCCCTTAGCTCGTCTTCTATCAACACCTGCTCCGAATCTGCTAATGAGCCTAGTCTTTGTTCATTCTCCCATTTATACTTCTCTTCAGTTACTGTTTTCTGATTCCTTGTCATCTTTTTGCCCCACATGTTTGTTTTCCCTTTACATCTCCTGGATTTCTCTATTTTGTTTGTGGACTTTTGCTTCTTTTGCCCTTTGGAACATTATTAAATCAGCACAATCAATCTCTGCATCCTTCCGTCTCTGCTTTTGGGTCTTCAAATTACCTTCCACCTAACCTAACAAATTCATTGTACTAGGACACACCACATTTTTCTACCGATGTGATTTCTACTCCTAAAAACATGGGTGGGCAATCCCACTAAATATGTTTTTCTATGGAATAATGTTTTCTCATAGCTTAAAAGTTCATGAAATCACAGATGAATGTTAAAATCTAATACCATTGAACAATGAATTTAGACAGCAGCACATAGAGATGTAAGGATGCTACAGTTAAAGTGTTTCATATTATCTGTTTTGTTTTTTAAAGAATTAAAACAATATTTAAGTGTGGAGTGTTTGACTTCTTAAAGCTCTGCTTCTATTCTTGCTCCTTGGTCTCGCTTAAGTTTTCCAAACCCCAAACTAACTTTATGTCAGTAAAATTAATTAAAAAGTAGAGATAAATAAAGGCAAATAAACATTCAATTTACATGCCAACACCAGACCTGGTCACAAGCAAAACAGTTGAAGATTTATTGCCCTATCATAAAAATAGAACCTCATTAACAACTGACAGAAGGCTAAAAATGATTAAAAGAAATAAAAACATCACATTAAAAATAGATAGGAAACAAATTAATTGACCTAGCTGTTACAAAGCCATTCCTAAATCTTTGTGACTCCAGCAATCCACATTTGAATACATAATCTAAAACAATGAGAACATTTAGCAGTACTGAAAGCTTTATAGAAGTGATTGATCTATATACATTACTCTATGAGGGCCTCTGTGACTCATCTTAGAAGCCACAAATGAACAAAAATATTTTGTCTTACCATGAGTACCCCTCTCAGTCAAAGGTTTGCTGATTGTCCCAAAGTGGAATGTACAGTATCTGATTATAAAATAAAATTAGTTTACTTAGTTTTTTAATTTGAATATTTAGGCATTTTATGTTTTCGATCTAAAAAAAAAAAAAAAAAAAAAGAAAATACATAAATATGTTGCCAGGAAGTTTGTAAGCAATCAAAACAGATGCAAAATAAAATATAAACCCATATTTATAAAACTGGAGCTCCTCCGAGTAACTCCGCTATTATCGCATTTAAACTTGATGACTTGGGAAGAAAATGCAGAATAAAACTTATAGACACCTGAGCTTGTTTGATGAGCTCCGATAGCTCAGTGTGAAAAACAGCAGATAACACCAGGTAACACCAAAACACCAGGCTGTTCTCTACATCCAGTCTGTTCCTCGGCTTGGTTTGGATGAGTGTCACAGCTGAAGGTGAACTCAAACATTGAAGAAAAACTTATTCTTTGGTTGATAAAAGTTTGTTTAATTTTTCCAGTGGGTCCACAGCAATCTTCCCCAACACCCCCCCCCCCGCCCCCCCATTTTTTTACACATATATGCATTTATATATATATATATATATATATATATATATATATATATATATATATATATATATATATATGTACACATAAAAAGCCAAGGTACCCTTATAATATAATTAATATAGCAAGGTCTTTATGTATTTAAAAAAATCCAGATGCTGTGATTGCTCTGTTTTCTGTTATAGTCAAATTATTTCTTCTAAATATATTTTTTGAAGAAAAGAGGCTGCTTGTTTTTTGGGTCTGAACACACTTTCCAAAGCTCACTTTGGAGAGTCCATTTTAATAAAAAGCTGGCTACAGCAATCAGTATTAAATCTTTGGTAAGTAGTAGCACTGTTGTACTTAGGTTTTATGAATAGTTCTTAAATTTTTTCATCTTTGTTTAAACCTGTGGAAGTTTGTTATATGTGTACTTGATGTTAGATTTAAATAAATATTTAAGAATAGTAAAGACCAGTTCATTTTTAAACTTCAGTATTCAAAACTTTAAAACTGATGTAATTTCCTTTTCTCTTGATCACTTGCTCTATGTATTTTTGCTTTTAGTTTTAACACCTCTTTAAAGCTGGACAATTTTGCAACATCAAAGAAATTTGAACATATATTTTTTTATAATTCTATAAATAAAGTGCTATTGCTATAGCATTAATACTTGTCATACTTCTAATTTCAATATTAATGACTTATCTTATATTTGGCCATTCTTTTTAGTCAGATGCAAGTATGTTTACAGAAAAGTTTGGTGTTTTGCAATAATTTGCTCTTTAAATAAAGATGAAAAAAAAAAAGAGTAAAAAAATTAAAGTCAGGAGCCGAAATAAAAACTAGCCATCCACATGACCACAGCCAACACCAGATGGATTAAGAAATCCCACAAACAGACAATGAAGACACACATGTGACTAAATGAACCAACCAGCTGATAAATCAATGAAATGATGAATGGAAGATGAAAAGGAGAGAATGAGGAATATTTACTCGCCGAAAAACAAAGACACTGGATGATTTTTGCAAACTGTACACATAGCAAATAAAACACCAATTGTTTGTATGTTAAAATAGAGAACGCAGCCTATTTATTTCAAATTTTAGCATCGAACTTGGATCTGATTTCTAATCCAGTTCCTTTTAAAATATGACACTTCAATAAACTTCTAAATGGGTGACAGTACAAATATGAAATGTTGTCATGCTACCATTAACATTGGATCAAATATCGGTGCCATATAGAAAAATGATGGAGCCATTCAGTGAATGAGACAAAGGGAAGATAGACAAAATGTACATATGTAAGAATAAATAGTTGGATTACTTTGTCATTCTTTGCTCGGCTTGATTTTGATTCCACACAAGGAATTCAGGGTCGTACCTATCGAGGGGGGACAGGCAGAGAGAAACAAGAGAGTTGTAGACGTTCCGTGTCTTGCAAGAAGTTATTCAATAATTTTCAAAAATAATTAGGATTAGTAAATAGAAATCAAGACGCAATCGCTAGACTCATCTTTCTCTCTCAACATTTGGTTATCAGGCAATGGTGGAGAAGGACTGGGTGGAAGGCATGCATGCTGGCAGGGTGGGTGGAAGGAAGATGGTGAATATGACAGGCAAAGAAAGGCTCTTAGAGAAATCTTAGCTCCATGTTCTCCACTTCTCTATTAACTTATCATGTGATTAATGGTCTGAAATGACCCTCTTTCACATTTAATGGATGACTGTTTTCTTCAAATTAAAGCGATCAATAATCTAAGGAATGGTAGATATATTAGAGCTGCTATGTTACGAGTGTATTTTCTGTACGCTAGTTTACATTAATTACATACATTAAAAATGATATATGAATAAAAATGTACTCTTAAGAAATATGGGGTGGCTACTTTTTAATGTTTATTATAAATATTATCTATATAGAAAAGTGAGTTCCTGACATATAGTTTTTGTAAGAATGTGTTTTATTTATTTATTTATTTTTAGGCAGATTGGGAAATAATGAGATAAAAGCTATGTTGACATCTTGGCCAAGCTTCAAAAACTGGTACTTCTGAGCCGTACTCGTCTTTTTGTCAAAAAAACAAAAATCCCACATAGCAAGGATAGATTATAGTCCTTGCAGCTGTCTTCTAGACTGCTAAATTATTTTCAATGATATTAAAAATACAATTCTAAGATCATTTTAGAGATTTTTAGTTCAATAAAATCCTGTAATTAATTCCGGATGAACTGTCAGATTAAATTCATTAAGACGATTATCTTATGAACGTTGTTGATTTTATTGGAAAACATTTTAAACAATGGCACTATGTGATTGACAATAGACACAACTAAAATCATAGTCTTTGTAACTGGCTTTCAATATGAAATTAGATGAAATACAATTTTATTAATCATGGATATTCTTTTAGAGAGATTTTTAACAATAATAACAATGTGAGGCATATTAAACAATCACTTGAAGATAAAATTCCCAGCCTCGATCTGAATAACTCAAATCGGTGAGGACACTTAACCGAGTGTGGAACTGCATTCCAGTCATCATAAGTGATATCTGAACTGTGCTGACAGTTAGGAAGCAGAAAGGACCAGGAAGCAGAATGATTTCTAGTGCCAATGCAGTTAGCAAAGAGACTTTCTGACTTCCCTAGACACTGTTATGAGCTATACAGTTGCCCACAATCCTTTGCACGACAGGAGTTATAGGCACAACTAATCTCACAGAGTAACAAAAATACATTACTTTGTGATAAGTACGCTGTGTGACACATGCTAATGCACACACCTTCATGTGTTTTGGGTTTTATAATGGAGAGGTTTAGCCGTCCGCTAAATTTCTGTAACTTTTAGTCCCAATTTGAACAGCGTAATTTATGTGTGTCCACCACATAAGGACTTGCGTAAGACTAAAAGCTGCCTGGATTCACAACCACAGTGCAGAGCTCCTTTTCTACCCTGGAGAGTGTTTTGTTATTTTTTAAATGGAGAGGGATATAGGTAGGAGATACAATTTGGACCCTTGTCCAATTCCAAATGAAAGTTATTGAAATATTTTACAACAAGAGCTGTCTACAGTTTAAATGTGCTCCTTTCTGTGTGGCTTGTGATCAAATTTAATGACGTGTTTCAGCTGCGTTCTGTGCAAAAGGTGCTGACCTATGTTGCACGACAGACACTTAGAGGGCTGCACCCAGCCAGAACTAACTCTGTTGTACTATTGATGTCATTGTTCAGGGTAAAAAAAACAATTGGAGTTTTGGAGAGCCCGAGATTTGTCAGATTAACACAACAACATGCAAAATCTATACATCTTTTTTATGCTTTTCACGCAAAACTACGCTGTACTTGCTCAAAGCTACCATACCAGACTGGGAAACCCTACTGCTCAGCTTGCTAGTGCAGACTATGTCACTATTTAATATATCACTGCAAGTTAAAAATCAACAGAGGCTTAATTCAGAAATACCGAGTAGAAATAAATTTAGGATAAATCATGAGTAACTGCTTTCAAAATTGTCTTCAGACAAACTTTGTTGTGTACGGATAGAAAATAAATAAATTCAGTTGAAATAAATGTAGCAAAACTGATGGGATTTGTTGAAAAATAGATATAGATCAATGTCTTAAATGTTATGTTATGTTAGATCACATAATTCTTGTATAAGTACAGTCTTAAAGGGACCCTCCCTGAAATAGTGGAGCTGTATATGGCTGGCACAGATTCTGGATGTGCATGTTGTAAACATGAAGCAAAATGCTATGAACTGCAAGTCCATTTGATCAATGTAGCGGGGCTGATGTGTTGTGAGTACAAAACAATGATGCCAGAGCAAAACAGTGAGCAAACAGACAAGGTGGGTGCAATATGCAAAGAGAAAAAATCACTTTAACGGTGGGTGAAGAAAAGAGCAATGAAAACAGCAGGAACAGGAGCCGCCTGCTCTAAGTTGTTCGCTTGTGATACACATTTTTAGGGTCATTCTCATTAAGTAATTAACAGTGTGAAACGCAAAGCTGAAATGTCACATTGAGATACTTGAACTTCATTCAGACTCTTTATATTGTTAAAATCAGTCATAAGTTAGAAAAAAGGAACTAGCAGAAAGAAATTCTGTCACATTAGGAATATCGTTTTAAAGACGGAAGAAGCAGCCTTCAAACAGCTATTAAGCTGTCTTTGTTTGAATCTCTCTTGATGGGTCCTATTTATCTCAAAGTGTCTCCATCTTGCTTCCACACTTGCATGCAGAGCACTGTTCCTCTTAAAGCACACTTTACGCAGGCTTTCCACGTCAAACGTTTCTCCCAGCTGCATCAAATGTAACTGATTGCTGCTGACAGAGACGAATTTCGCTCCTAACACTGAGGGTAAACTTTAAAACAGGACCTAGGAGTGTGTGCAGGCATTCGAACAGTTGTGTGAAAGAGCTTCAAGACCAGTTAAACCAGAGGGGACAGTGAAAGATGTGGCATGATGTGCGCCTCATACTAAAGCCCAGATTCAGCCAACCTTTTTGTCTACCAAACTGTCAAACACTGACAGTCAATTATCTGTTGCTACAGACTGTTGAAGCAACACTTATCTTTGGCACCCATTTGTTGTTCACTACTAAATTCTGTCAGTATCAATATTTCCTCTCAGTAAGGAGTAATACTTGGAGAAAAAAAAGATTCTTTGGTGAATCTGGCCCTCAGTACATTTTGTGAAAGTGAAGAGGAAGCAGAGCAAAGGGCCTCATCAACAAGCCAGAGCACAGATGTCTTGCTTTTTCCTCACCTTGGGTCCTTTTGGATGCTGTCCACAGATGGAGACCTGCCAAGAGCAGCTTCAGGGGGGAGTGCCGGGCCTGACTTGCTGTAAGGGGACTCGCTGGATGGACAGAACTGTAGAGTGCGATACGGATTGGCGTAATCGGCCGCCCCACCTCCTGTAGCGAAACTGCCTCTCTGGAAGGTGCCTGCAGCGCTCTGGCTTCCAGTTCGCTGCAAGGGGATTGGGTCAACACCAGGGGAGGACGGGGCTAGAGTGGGAAGAGGAGCGTAAGGATAAAACAGATAGTTGAGGACCTCTTGGTACAACTGGTTCACCACTGGGGTTTAGGAAGCAGGGTTTGATTCGGCAGGGTGAGTGAAGGTAAAATTAAGCACAGGAAAGAAAAACCCCACCGGAGGATCCGTGTGTGGGAGCAGGAGCAGTACAAAGCAACAACACCGGAAGGGAAAATAAAACAGAAGCAAATGTCATAAAACAAAGTTCAGGGGAGCAAGTGGGACAATATGAGGTAAAATTATTTAATTAAACAAAAAAATCACATAAAATCCATCTGAAACTTAAAAATTAAAGCCTATTTAGCCAATTTTTGTTCTACTTCTGGCCCACTGGAAAGGACATAGTGGTCCAGTCTGCTCAAAGCAAAACATTTGGTTGCTGCATTTGTAAATGATGATACATTTATACATACTTTTAAATGAAATCTACTTCAAATGTACTACATAAGCTAAAATAACCTGTTATAAAACAAAAAAAATTAATTCACAACAAAAGTTGCATTAACTTTTTAATCTGATTAGAAACATATGTTTCAATAAGCAGCCTAGTGGTTTTGGTTATATATAAAACATAGCTTGACATCAATAGTTGTCTTTAAATTAAATGATGTTTGTCCCCATTGTTCTTTGCAATATAGTCAAGTTAAGTCAAATTGGATGGGGAATAAAAATGCTTTCTTCTGAACTGCTGTATTTGAAGCTGTTTGTATATGTGGATGTTGCCACTGACCTAATAGAAAGTAAATCTGTCTCCAAGTCTCAGGTCCTTAGCAACCACTAAAGGATGTTCTTCCAAAATCCCCCTATATTCAACTCCATCTATCTTCCCATCTAGTGTGAAAGGCTTTCCAGTCTTGGTGAAAAGGGTTATGCATTTTTAGTTGTAGCTACACATAGTTTTATCTGCACATAACCACACATACTTCAAATAATTGAAATAATAAGTGCTGTGATCTACACAGACCAGCAAGCTGCTTTGACTCTCCCTATTTAAATGAGTAAACAGTGTGTGCTACTAGCAGTCTGAGTGTGGTTCAAAAAGAAAGGTCAAGGTTTTTGCCATGGATCTGGAAATTTAATGAAAAGAATTATTAAACCAAACAATAACAATCACGACAACAATGATGAGGAATTTGTATAACGTACTCCAATAAAATTTGTGCAAAAAATTCCAAGACATATTAACTTTGCCCCCCTTTTGATCAATGGGGTGATGATTGTTCCCTGGTGATGTTAACCTTAATTTTAATTAATGTTAATTCTTTTTAGACATGTGAGAGTATTTAGGGTAAATACTTGCTTGCTTTCATGTGACGTCACATGGCAGATGAAAGGCATAAAGCAAAGTAGCTATGGACATGCAAAACTTGTAACGGCTACTCTACTATTTCATCACTGAGTGCCAAAGGCTTTAGTTAATCATGGAGGATAAGGTAAAAAAGCTCAATGCTGGAAAAAGTGGATTTGAAATCTGCGATTGGGCAGAGCAGTCTGCTGGTGCCTCATGTCTGCAAACTCCATCATCAGTATTATCTCTGCAACTTTCTTTGTTCGTATTGTTATTATTAAGGTGTAGTACTTAGGAATTATTTTAAAGCAAATGTGAGTCTAATACAGACTGCGTTGAAAGTTTTAGGCTGCCCAGGCTCTTTTGGTATCATTAGGTAGATAGGCTGGGCTCCAACGGTTACAGTAATCTTCTCCTGTTATGTAAATGTATGAACTAACAGGGATGATAATTATCACAGGCTTTGTGGGGCTGAGATTCTGGACCTACCTGCTGACAAAAAAAGTTATAGTCCTCCAGATCTATAGATGTCCATCTGCTGTAGCAGGATGGATAACCTAATAGTTTGAAATGTCTTTGGTCCATGATTGTTGGCAAATTATTCTGGCAAATTATTGTTTGGTAGAAAACCATTATTTTTATGAAATATGGTTCAAATCCAACATATTTCTTTTTTAAATATTTCATTTGAAACTGAATCCAAATCCCTACAATACTGGCTCACTGCAACTGCTATTTTGCTTAATACTCTCCATCTGTTATCACATACCATCAAAACCATGTGCCTGAAACCCACCTATTGCATATAGTAAAGGTTGTCTGCAGTCCCAATGCATTAATTTGTGTCAGCATGTTCATATATCTTTATTCCCCTGACTGATATTCACAGACTCTCCCTCATTTCTTTATCATATAATCAGTATGTCCTTTGGAGCTACAGCAACCACAGAAATGTTGTATATGAGTTTGCACCTGATTTTCAAAGGTGCTATATTGACAGAAAATCTGCCCCTACCCAGTAAAAACTCCACCCAGCTTTTTAAGCATTTTGCTCATATGAATATGATTTGCATATCCATAAAGGCCCACATGCAAAAAATGTAGCATTCTGTTCTGCTTGTTTTAGATATGCAAAATAATTTTCACCCGCTTTACTGATCAGCCTTTTTAAAGCATGTACGGACAAGTTTGCATGTGTTTTAATATGACCAAGATCAGGCACGTTTGTTTTTAAGGAAGGTCACACATTTCAGTTTTGGACTCATCAGACTAGGACACAGTCTTCCAGTGTTTCCCCTTCATGGCCTGCAGCTAACTTTAAAGAGGGCTTCTAGTAGTTTTCTTCTTGCCGGTCTTCTTTAAAGGTTGTACTTTTGGAGCTGACTTGTGTAATTTTTCCACCTGACTTGTGGATTAAAATGTAAAGAAGTTAGGATTAGAAATATGTTTTTTTAAGGCAGTAAAATGTTCTTAAAGACAGTCCTGTTTTTTTTCAGAAAAAAAAAGTCTTTATCCAGTAATGAAAGGCTAATTAGCAGCCTTTATAGAGCTAAATCTACTTAAGCTTCAATTTTATTGGAAAAGTTTTACTGACAAAAACTTAGGAAACATATTATTACCAAACTTAATGCAGGTTAAGTATAACATACCAAAGCCATATATAGACTCACATTCATTTAATCATTCTTTTTCATAAAAAAAAAAAAATAGATTAAATAAGTGTTTCACTTATATTTTCATAAATTTTCTTGGCTGAGGTGCTAGGCTAAGACTAGCTACAGTAGCTGACATGCTAAGTAACCTTTGTGTTTTACTCAATATTATTTCTCCATAGTTGATTAATAACATTAATATCACTTTTGAAGAACATACAGAGGAGGTTTCTACAATATTTTACCACTCAGTCAGGTTGCAGACCTCTTGAAGCAATACTTTGTGAATTACTCTAGCCTGGATAATCCCACCATGCCCTAAAGTGCTGAGATTGCTGAGGATTTTTTTTTTATACCTTTCACTCAGAAAACAAAGGATCACTAAAAGACAATTCAGGAAAATATAGCTATTGTGGACACACTGACTTTCTTTTTGGTTTTCTTTTGTGTTGGTAACAAAAAATCCCCCTGTGATGTTCAGCCTGGTCATTTCCAACTAAGTAACCTCACTGAAGGTCACTCATGAATGCAGAACAGGAAATGGTATGATTGAATTTTTTAATGTTTGATATGTTTCCTTTTGAACAAAAACAACTAATTATTCACATTTGTATAAATGAAATGTCTGAAAAAAAACCTATTCTATAAAATGTGTGATGTGGAGCATGCTCAGTTTATAATTTTTTTTTCTGGTATACTTTTATTTTGTTGTAGCGTTCACCAATGAGGCGTCCAAATCTATGGCACCGCTTTAGCAATGTTTTAGTGCACGGTTGATTTATGTTGATTGCATTGAGCCCAAACTAACGCCCTAGGGATTAATTGAGATTAATTTTCATCTTTGAAACTAATTCGCTAACAGACTGTGACTGGAAGACAAATTGCCAGAGAGACCCCAATTGGATTTGCTTACCTGGTCCTGTTAAAAGCAATACATGATTGGATGGAAAAAGAGAGTCTCCGATGTATATTATCTGTTAGTGCAACATAACATCATCAGACAGCTGCTTGACAGAAACCAAACTGTGCCTGTTTCTTCTTCTTTTTTGCTTTGTCTGTTTGATCCATCACTGTATTCTACGTATCACATGGTGACATCTTTTACAGGATGGTGTCAAAATAAAATGCTTCAGTGAATAAGAACACACCATAGGTATTTATCTCTGTTCTTTCCTGCCACCCTTACGGCCTGTGCATTCTTTAGCAAACCCGTTGAATTTCCCATTATGCATCCTTTTATTTTACCTGAGGGGACTCTCTGGATATTTTATAAAATGAAACTAATGCCTGGTAAGTTATTAACAATTTAAGGCTTTATGTATTCCAGTCATTTAGGGTAACAGCTGCAATAACTTGGTTCAGCTTTGTTTAATTTAGGTCTTTTAATAAGACCCAATGGAAAGCATTGCTTAAAGTTGCCTATGAAAACACGCTAACTCTTTTATGAAACATTACATTACTGTCTTGTTAGATTTAATTAGACAACATACAAGTCAAATATAATTTCCTTCTTATAAAACATATAAAACACACTGTTAACATAGAGACTTAAAAGCAACACAATGTCATATCTGCTGAAAAAGTTGAACAGATATGAATATCTTTGCAAGGAAGCATAGTAGTCTTTCGAACCATTTGGAGAATCTGCATTTGGCTCAGTTTACGTTTTTTTTGGGGTCATCCTCAGTGCTACAACTTGCCTCAGCTCATGCTAGTTTCTATGAGCACTGCTGTTAAAAAAAAAGGAGGTTGGATGAAAGGCAGTGAAGGAATGGGGGCATTTTATTAAAAATCTTTTTCCTCAACACATCTGAGTCTGGGATGCTCAGAAATCTTTAATATACCCTAAATCTAAATCAAGATGAAAATCAATAAGCAATTTCCCAAGAAAAACATGTGGCAGAATAATACTGAAAGAAGATGAGAATTCTAAAAACAGAAATAGAGCATAAGGGTTAAGGCATGTTTGTGTTTATACAAAGAGATGAGAAAAGGGCTTCCTGTATACCTATTTTACCTCAATATGAAAATTGTTATAAAATTTTTAAAAATGAAGCAAACAGGAAGGTTTATTGATTTTAAGGAAACCATGGTGACAAAAATGTAATCTTTAAAGATAAAGGAACAATCAAAATGCTTTCCTGTATTCTATGCATTGTCATGGTTTTGGTTCTGTTTAAGTTTTCTTTTTTGAGTTGCCATTGGTTTTGTTTCAATTTTATGTCATTCTAGATGTTTTTTTGGTTGTATTTCAGGTATGTATCTCTTGTTTACCCTTTGTTGACCCCTTTTTGCCAGTCTCCTTCCCCTAGCTCCTTTCTAGATTCTTCTGTTCACCACTGCTCCCAGTCAGTTGATTACTCCAGTCTTTGTTCTGTTTGGATTTATGTTCCTGCTCTTCAGTTACTGTTTGCTGATTCCTCCTCATGTATGTTTTCCTTGACATCTCCTGTTTTATTAGTTTTGCTGGATATTGTTATTGTTGGATTTTTGCATCAGTTGCCACCATTTGGATCAAATCTGAAAGAAACCACCTTAGGTTCAGTCTCTGCATTTAGGTCCTCTAAAAACCCCCAGACAACCTGACACGCTTAAGTTGTCAATTAGATGTGGTTGTCTCACCAAGTACTGTATATTGGCATTTAATAGAAAAAAAGTTTCTGTGTGGCTAAGCATGATGCATCCCTTTTTCGTATAGTCAATATTTGGATAAAAGCTTTGAAAGGGAAACATGTTACTTTTGCCACAGCCTCATCTAAATCACAGCCTGACATTGTGAGGTTTATTCATTTGTGTTCTGTGTAGGTCTGACTGACCCATGCATTCAAATAAAAATAAGTCAAATTATTAAATTAAATATATTGCTTTTTCCGCTTGGCCTTTTCAGGTCGTAAGGATGCAGTGATTGATTTTCTTTACTGTAGACAGAGTGTCTGCATATCATAGCATGAACTTAGGTAATGTAATTATTTGAGGTGCGCAGCTGCAGTTATGTACTGCTGGGACGGAGGTTTAGACTGAAAAAAAAATGGTTGCCCAACTTTTTAAAAAAGCATCAATATTCATGCTTTATGGTCAGCTTTATTTGTCGTATATGCACCAGGTCGAAACAACAAAACTATTCTTACACTTCTTCAGGAGTAGAACTAAAACTACTTGAACCACGGCAGAAAATTGGATAATACTTTAGGATTATTTATCAGAAGGCTTCTAATGTATTAAAAATAACTGCACATTTTAGATAGTTTTTCATTCCTATAAATGGTCCTTACACCTAAATGCCCATTCGGAGATGCATAGAGTTTTTATGTAGGATGGATTTGACCAGTAAACAGCCAATTATAGACTGAAAAAAAACA